GCACGAAGAAATATACATGTAATGTATAGCCAAAGAAACCTTTAACTGTTATAAACAAATCAACATAAAAATGAGAACAATGATCAACCAGGCAAGGCGATGTGCATTGAACGCAACCTCAAGTACAACACGGTCACTCTGCCAGAGCACTCAGAAGGACACAAGAGGGCGAAGAAATGAGGAGGCATTAGGGCAGAGAAAGTAGCAGATTTACAGGCCAATAAGTGTTAAAGACATCTGTGGATGTTTCAAAATTTAAAATTTCACCATTTTCATGTTTAAATGTTGAATACTGCTGAAGTCGGTGCCAGAGGCGTGGACGGTAGCTTGCAATTACCACTACCTTCCAAGAACAGACTCAATCAAACCAACATTTTTAACTTTGCCGATTTGGGCTTTTTGGGGGGATTTTTTTTCTATTTTACAATTAATAATTTTATAAGATAAACGATAAGCAATTAATTCACCAAAAGGGTTGATACGGGAATAAAAGGGACAATGGATAAGTAATTAACGCAGCAGATGCATGCTTATGCTCATAAAAATTCTGAAAATGTATTAAAACGTTAGTTATTTTCAAGTAAACAAAGATAGCAACCGGCACCTTTAGTCCTTTCAAAATAACGAAAATAAAGGTCAAAATATGCATACGAAAGCCCTTACTGCGTAAATCACGCAGTAGAAATATGGTGATAAATATTGTGAAATCTGTTCATTGCATGTAACATGTAAATCATTCCCTGAATTGCGAATATTTTTACTTCACTAAAACATTTTATACATGTTTCTTTAAATTTATATTTTTGAAATGTCTTGGCTCATCTTGAAGCATGCAACTTAAGATATATGTCTTTTTACACGGTTTTTTAAAAATATTTACTAGGAATTCGTTATTGCAATTTTATATACTAGTTAATCTTTATTACAGTTTTTACACCTATCTTACGTATTAACAAATTGTCTGAGTAATCCATATAAAGAAAATATACATCAAATTATTTCAAATTACATGGCAAATTACTTTATGAAGCGACTTTCGTAGAATATTCATTTGATATTCAAGTACACTCCAACGGCCTTTAAGCAAACAAGGACAAAATAATATTATTGTCGCATTTAGTTTCACCCGTCTAATAGAGGTAATTACTTACTAAACCGTGAGCATATCAATTATTTTCTATTCTCAAATACTTCTAAACAACAACAACAAACTTTATAGGTTTTTAGTCGCTGTATTTGACAGAATATATACTCGTTAACTGTTCCCTACCAAACTTAGAAACTATCAGCAATACAAATAATCTTATTTCTATGTTCACATTTGTCCCTTGCTTCCTTCAAAACTTGCTTAGCATTTAAAGCAGCATCTCTTTTACTAACTGCTCTATCACAAATGTCTAACAGCTCTAAAATTGCACAGTTAAAATCAAATTGCTTCTTATTTCAAGCACTGAAGAAAGAAATTGAATTGTTAAGTCTGACCTTTTTTCTAGAAGTTTCCGCTGTCAACTCTACTTCTGCTTTCAAATCGTGTTACAGTTCTGTTCAATTTCCATGCATTTCTCCCATTTAATTTGACCTGATTTCTTCTGTCATTTAACGCTTTTACACAAATACCCCCTTATATACCGTACACGCACGTGAAAATCGTGAAAAATCATAAAGGAATGTGCAACAGTGTAAATCAAATTAACGTAAAATCATAAATATTTCCTATAGATATAACTTTTACCATAAACTACGTATTGTTCGAATTATTTCAAATATTTCAAATTACGTGCCAACTTATTCTATGAAGAGACATTCTTGGAATATTCATTTGATATATAGGCCTTTGATCAGACATGGGCAAAATAATATTAGTGTCGCATTACGTTTTCACCCGTCTGTTAATAATAGAGATAATTATTTCCTGGTGAATATTGTCTAAAAGTTTGTGCATCTTATAACCCTTAATGCACAGTGTTTGACATTTCTTACGTTAAATTATTTCGAATTATAGCATGTAATGAAAAATATACTGCAGCAGTCTAAAGTTCGTACGAAAGACCGGAAATTATCTTCCTGAATTCACAAATTTAAACTTCGTGAATTCACGTTTTCAACATATCTTATTCACGATTTCAACTTCATGAATTGACGTTTTCATTTTTTCAACCTATGTTTTATTACGATTTCAACTTCATGAATTAACAATTTCAATTAAAGCATTCACGTTTTCAACAAATAAACTTCACGAATTCACGATTTCAACTTCATGAATTCACGATATCAACTTCAAGAATTCATGTTTTCAACAAATGAAATTCATGATTTCATTTTCTTGAATTCACGATTTCATTCTCATGAAATCACGATTTTAACTTCACGATTTCAACTTCATGAATTCACGATTTCATTTTCATGAATTCACGATTTCATTTTCATGAAATCACGATTTCAACTTCACGATTTCAACTTCAATGTTCTGTTCTTAAAGGAACATGTTACTTTAAGACTAAATGTATTATTTATCATTAAAATTAAGATTAAACCTTTTGAATTTTAAGGGCATAAATCAATTTGTTAGGATATTATACTCTGTTTATCGTTCGTTTACCTGACAGTGTGTTTCATATTTTCTGTCTAAGCAAAATTCCTCTGCCTTGTTCTGGAACTTTGCAATAGCACGACAAAAATTACCTAGACTATAACAAAACAAATTTCCATAATATTAAGTATCTCATAAAATGAAATCGTGAGTGAATGGCCTATATCTGAAGTAACGAGCTGATGGATTTTTCATTGATAATTTTTCAAAGGTTGTCTCAAAGATTTTCCTTGTCAGCCAGATGGCTGTGTATTTTGCACGTTGAAAGATTCTTTACTTAAAGCAGCACGCCTCCAGATTTATGTTTATTAATAAAAAAAATGGAAATGTATTTAAAAGTAAAATAATGTGAGGTGAACAAATAAAGTAATTTACATATTGCAATCGGCACTTTCACTCCACTAAAATTACCTAAAAGTGGTCAACATAATTATGCAAAAACAGTCCTTCCTGCGTTAGTAACGCAGAAGAAATATGGTGACAAAATACGGCAAAATCAGTGTTAAACCGCACATAACATGTAAAATACAACCTTGAATCTTGAACGTGTGAACCTTTCTTAAAAGTTTAGTGCATTTTTCTCAATATTGATTTTCTTGAAATATTTTGTCTCATCTGGAGGCGTGCAGCTTTGAGACAATGCACCTTATGCAGTAAAAAACGAACACAGCCACTTCCTGGTTAGGAAACGCGATTTAAATAACTAGAATTCAGAATATTGTTTTTCAGAGATAACATTTTACGACCTTCAGGCAAAATAATTCTTAAATTATATTCATCCAAAAATTGTTATAATAAAGAAATAAGATATTTGTAGGATGATATTTTATGAGTTGCATAAAATGAAGTTTACATACGTACTGCTTGACTTTCATAAGGTCAGAATAATTTTCACTGAAAGGAATAAGAAACGAGCTGAACAATGTTAAAAGCCAAGCTTTGCTACAGAAATCCATATTTTTTCATTCTTTAGAAATGCCAAACATGTGTTCAATAATGATTTAAATAATGGATTATGTGCATGTTAGATGTTTTTAACTGAAAAAGTAGCTCTGAACATGCAGTTATGTGTCTTAAAGGTAACAAAATGTAAACAAATATAATAATTATGACTTCCATATAAAATACTCATTTATTATAATTTTACCAAATGCCAACAGAACTTAAGATGCAAAAAACACATCTAAATCGTATACAGTAAATGAGTATGTTTTTGGAAACTGTAACAACACACCAAAAATAAACAATTTTTGAGAAATAAAAATGATAGCATTTGTGAGGCATGACATGACCTTTAATATATGATCGTAAAGTGTATTAACTAAGTAATACTTTGATTTTGTTACAGAGAAGAGTTGTCTGATATTAGCAATTTTGTGGAAATATATAACAAAATGTAAGGAGTACAAAATTTAAAGGCAGGCAAACTGAGACTGAATTTTTATACACTTTTGGTGTTTTCAGTGATTCCGAACGATTCTTAATATTTTTTACAATAAGGTGTTGTGATCAGATGAAAATAAATTGTCTCAAAATGCTTAAAAGTTACTATTGTTACGTAGTTGATTAAATAGTTGATGCATATTGTTAATCAGAATCAATTCGTTTATATTGTACCTTTTTCAGAAAACAAAATTAATGTCAGCCAAATATCATATTTTTTTCTAAAGGAAGTCAACAAACTTGTAAAAAAGTATAAAAATAGTTATGATTATGCTGCCATTGTAGAATAAAGGAATGATAAATTATTTCTCGTTCTCGTTATGATAATAGAACGTCTGAAAATTACAGCTGCCGATAAAAGTCCAAATTAATAATATACATTAGCATATGTTAGGCTGTCTGTATCTTTTATTTCTGAAATACGATTTAATATTTTTGTGGATGAATGGCCTTTATTATTGTTATTCGCTCACCTGAACATAAAGTACACAAGACGAACTTTGTTATCACAATTTTTCCGGCATCCATCGCTCAGTGTGACCGTCGTCATTTTTTTATCGTCACATCGTGACGTTATAATTTTCATTTTGAAAATTAATAATTTCTGTAAAATCAAAAATGGTATACTTTCGCAGTCAAAAATTATACGGCTACCGTGAAATTATATTTCAATAATGTCATTGTGAAATTAATCCAACTCATCCAAAATGTAATTTCACTGTCTACTAAAAATGGACGTATTTTGTACTCCAGAAAATACTTGTATAATCACAATGGATCAATGCCGTAATAATATTTCTATCTTGTATAGTACATGTTAAAAGAATCCAGGAAATGGCTGTCAACAATGTCTTAAAGATGTCTGGAAAGAAAGAGCGTGCTAATGTCCTTTGACAAATTTCAAATTATTCAATTTTTATCAGAAATAGAATAACGATAAAAGTTTACTGTCAGACAGCCTCGAAATTATTTGATGAGCATTAGGGTTCGCCTTCTACACTTTGTATTGAATTTGTCATAAATTAACCGAAAATCTTACACTGTATTTAAGACATTGATGTACTGTAGTGCAATCTAAGCATAGCAATATCCTTTGGAAAACATTAACAACAAAGTTTGTGTTTTTTCTAGAGATATTTAATTAATTGCTTTCGGAAGAATTGATACTGCCGTTTATAAGAGATTCATGGACAGTCACGACAGAGGGCAGCTCTGTAGAAGTTGGGCTGTAAATAACCATCACGCAGGAAATTATAAAATTCAAGTCATCCATGTTTGTTTATGTTATGGAAAGATATGAGTCGCTTAGTTTTAACCAAGATGCCTGAAGCAAACGCAATTTTAAAAAACGGTCAAAATTTCAAAACGATGCATTTTTCTATAAGAAGCTGTCGGTTTCTTTTTTTCGCACGCCAGTTTTTAGCAAATTCAAACCTATAGATTAACACACTTTAGAAAGATTCAAACTATTATAAGGTTTGCCATGGCAAATATTTTTTCTACATTTGCCATGGCAAATTTGCATATAATGCATATAGCTGTAGATAAAGAACAACAAAGGTGCATGAAGGTAATCGTAGCACCAAACAAATAGCTTTTCAGACAACGTTATTGATCGCGGTATAAGTTATAGAAAATTCCCATTATATTTCTATAACATGTAATTTAGTATTTTATACAAAACCATCCATCATAAAAGTTAACCATATTGAGATCAATATGAGATCAAATTTACGAAGAACATATTAAAAATATAATAGCTGGAAAGTACAAAAAAATAAGAACAAAACATCACATTATTGAATCTTAAATGACGGGGAAACTTTATAACTGGGCACAGAATCATCACGAATTTCATTTCGTCTTAAAGTTTTATATCCAAGAATGCTATACAATTCCCCGCACCAATTGTCTATTCTTTGCACTTCTTCCCACGTTATGTACTTTCGCCACCAAAACGCATTATCATGTTTTCTATCTTTAGTAAAAGAGCTCCCCATTTCTGGCGGTGATAGGTTCACATTTATTTTACTAAATGTCTCAACGCCTTCCTTGTTATACGTCAAATTAAGTTTCTTATAAATCTGTTTTAGTCTAATATCCATATTTTCTATGATATCTTCATAATATAACACTATAACTCTGTCTGGATAATTTATCTTAAGTTTTATGACGTCCTTAATGTCCTCCAGCATCTTCTCGCAAAGGTTCTTCTCCAAGGAATCATTCTTTCTTGGTCTCTCTACGGGATAAAAGCGGGAATACAAGCGTGAATGAATAATTGCACGAGGATCTCGGACTAGATGTACTATTTTCAGCTTTGGATTTATTTCCATCAAAGGTTGGAAAGACGAAAAAGAGAGCCGAAGGACTTTTAAAACTCTGTGTGTTTTGTTTCGGCATATTTCTTCAAGCTGTCGTAAACATTCACTTTTGGCATTAAATCCGGCCACACATGCTCTGTATTTGTTCCAGCTAGGACCTGTCAATGAAATTAAAATTTGAAACTATTATAAAGTAATTGAAAGATGCATTTAATTATTAGTTATCTTTTATATATTTTTCTCTTTTTAGTCATCTTTTATATTTTTATCTCTTTTTTCTCATTCTTTTTAATTTATTTGGGTTGTTTTAAGTTTCTCCGACACTGTAAATGTCAAATGGCAATCAAATTTCAGCTTTATAAGTTCGTGTGGGTCATCAAGTGTACCCCCTTGCGCATTGTTTAAGGCACGAGCTGGCACCTGCGTAGAACGACCGGCCTTTCGTCAGCTAGCGGGATATCACACGTGAAATAATTCCAAATTTGTGGACTTGGTGGACTATTTCAAAGTTACATTGCCCGTGATAAGAAATGTGCCATCATCATATAGAACATGTCAATTTAAAATACATACAACTGTATGTCATTTTTTTTTCTTGGTTTTACGCCGCACAAACACAGCATACGTCATATGGCGACTTTCCAACTTTTCTGGTAGAGGTAAAACTCATGTGCGCTTCCCTAGGCACGAACGGGTAGCCGAGTCGAACCACCGACATTCCGTAAGCTAGCTGGATAGGTTCCTCAAATGAAAGAATTCAAAGTTCCTTCTAGTATGCAAACCCACAAGGGGTGAGGAACAAGTGGTTTGAAGTCAACCATCAAAGGACGCCCCATTATTACAATTAACAAACATTAGGTATTCAGCAATTTTCAGAATAATTAAAGTATATAGATGTTTTAAAACTATTAAAACGTTTTCCGCATGATTGTGTTGTGTTCTTTTTATTTGTTAATAAGTGACAATTATTGTATATTCTTATGTACCTTTCGCCTTTTGTAGATACACTCTACAGATTACTAGTTCCGTTATTTTCAATGAGTTATCATTATTTCAATAAACAATGTAATTACCAGAATAACCGCCATGATCGTGCACTCTGTCCTGTACAACATTTAGTAATGACACGAGACTGCAGTTTAAGACACTTGACAACACGTGCAGCATTAACTCTATTGGCTCTGTGTCACTGAAACGGAAAAGTAAACAAATAAATTGATTTAAAATGTATACAATTTTATGTTGAATAACATACATATTGTTATATCAATTTTAGATGTGATGTAGTAAACGAATAAATATGGTTTGGATTAGAAAGAATATGTAATAAGTATAAAACAGGGATTTCATTCTGCTTAATAAATTAATCAATTCATTCATTCATTCATTCATTTATAGATCTTCTTTTATATTCTTTTTTCACGTGTTATTACCTCCTTTGTTTTTTTTTTTTTTTAAATAAAGATTTATTAAATTAAATTCAGATGATTATGTTAATTTATTTACATCTAAATGAAATGAAGAAACGGAATTGTAAACTAACATGTATACTTTATTTGATATATAAATCACCTACCGAGGTATTTCGTTAACGATATTTTCCGTCTGTTTTCCGAACTGGTCTATATTAAAGACGTTTTCCGTGTATGTCTGTACAGCTCTGTATTAAATTAAGATCAATATGTATAAGAAAAAATAAAAAGGATACAATGTAATCGTATTTTATTTTGATTGGGTTTTACGTCGGACCAACACAGTTGTAGTCATGTTGAAGACTTTCCAGCGGTGAGGGCGATATTGTATTTATAAGTTGAACATAAGAAAATTAAGACAAATTAAGGAGTTATAATACTGCTGTATGTCAATATTGTTCTAGCACCGAATCCAACAATAAAACAAATAAAATAATAATAAGAAGTAAACTTATAAAGTAACAGAGCAATTTTATTTGGTATTTCGGAATTAAGCTAAAAATTACCATATACATATCCAGAACATGATTGTTTGTGTGTTGTTGTTCAACATGTATTAAAAATGAGAGTAAAATTTATTTAAACCGTAAACAAAAAAACATCCGACCTACAAGGGCCTTCTATCGTACTGCAACGTAGGTCAGGTGGTTTGTAAAAGTCCCAAACTGTAAACTTCCAGAAGGGTTCGTAAAAGTAGAAGGACTGATTTAGAAACCCAAGCAGCTTTCCTGTCAATCTGGAGCCACTGTTCATATATGCACTAACAATAATATCATGATGTCCATGTTTATTCCGGGAATAAGCTGCAAAAATAAATAAATAAATAAATGATAAAATAAATTAATATTTTTGTTGTTGTTGGGTTTTACGTCGCACCCACAGTAAAGGTCATGGTTCGCCTTCCCAGCTTTACTTGTCGAGGAAGACCTTAAGTGCCATTCGATGCATTATTTCAGGCGCGAAAAAGCATCTTGAGTAGAACTACCGACGTTCCGTAGTTTCCTCATATAAATGAATGGGAGAAATAGAAAGAAGAAGGAAATAACTATTACAGATATAAAGTTTAAATAATGATTAAGGAGCATGTTCTAGATGCTGATATATGCAACCTGAAGAAAGTTGCTCTAAATGTGAAATGATTTAACATTTAATTTAAAAGTAGCAAAATATAAACAAAGCAGTATTTTGACGTGCATACGTAATAGATATACCATTGCTGCGTTGACGATTTCTGGGTTTGCGTAAATTATACCATAATCACGTGACCTTTCTTATGCCTTAACCTCACGAGACGAAGTCTCGTGAGGTTAAGGCATAAGAAAGGTCACGTTATTATGGTATAATTTTCGTCTCGTGAGGTTAAGGCATAAGAAAGGTCACGTGATTATGGTATAATTTACGCAAACCCAGAAATCGCCAACGCACCAATGGTGTATCTGTTTTAACCTATAGCTCCGCCCAGAAACACTTACTCCTTCGATCTTGAAAACTGAAAATTATACCATAGTCTGGGTATGGTATAATTTACGGTTATTGGAAATTATACTTGGAAGAATTTTACATAAGAAGCGCTGAAGAGCTATAGGTTAAAAAATACTTAATCACTATGAATCTGTATAAAACTAGCTCTATATAAAACGCTTTCGAGCTTTAAGCGTTGATCTTATTACTAAAATTTTATTTGCAACGTGCTGATTAATGAAATGAAATAACAATGTAAATAATAAATACTCTATTAAATTATATAATTAAGACATTTGTCAAAACTGTATGTTGAAAATGTTTGGGTTACTTACGTAATTTAATGAGGTCCTTCCTTAACTGTGCCATTGTTAAAGCTTGCCGTGAATCTATATATTCTGTAATAGAAATTAATTCTATTATTAGTGAAATCGAGGGGAAAAAATCAAACAAACTTCAAACAAATGTTTCGGATTTTTTTTAATTAAAGTATAAAATACTCCCTTCCCTTGGTATTGCTTTAAGTGTACAGCTAAAATTATCCTCATATCACCTAAATTGTGTTGGTGAGCGGTAAAACCATGCAAAAACATAAAAGCAGTACGTCTTCAAAAACAGGTAAAAGCATGATAATAAGTATACTAAATTCTGACATTTTAATCTAATATTATGCGAATTAAAATTCTAATCTTAAAAAAACACTTTACATTATAATTCAAAACAATACTCTTATTGATATTTACATGTATTTAGAGAGCGTGCTATTTTGAAAAATCTGTACCCACAACTTTTTCAGATCTAATCATGCGATCATTATTTTCCCAATGAGTACGGACAAATATTTTATAGCTTTTAAATTGATTTATGGTACAAGATCAAGTATATAATTTATGCTAGTGTATTCATTCTATACGGTGTATGAAATAAATCTGAGTCACAGCTAACTGAAGATGTAGCAACATTTATTCTATATATATATTCATATATTTTGATACATCAAACTATGGTGGCTGATTTACGCCTCGAGAATGGTAAATAATAAAGGTTTTAATCAGCGATGTTATTACAGAGCTTTGATATGTGTATAGTGTATAGAAGGTCATCCCCGCTTTTATACGTATATCAAGTTTAAATACAATGATGTATGTTCAATACAAATACGACACTCATATTTACATAATAAAGCACCATCTACAGTATATTCATTTAATGCATTTTTTTTCAATAATAAATAAATGTAATAATGAAGTCAGTACTTTGCGCATCTTATTAAATTTTCACAAAGAATGAATATAAAAAATGCCACTCGGGTTAATGACATCAGTATTTTATATAATAATATTTAATAATATCAGTATATACTGGATAATTCTTGTGACTGTTTTACTAATGAAGTTATGGTTTTGTGATAAATCTGTTCGACCAGTATACAATCAAGCCCTATACTTTTGGTAGTTAAATTTTTGTACCCCCCCCCCCCCCAGATATCGACCTTAAAAGCAATGCTTATAAATGACCCAAAGTAAATTTGTTTACAAATGTATCTTATAACTAAATAATTATGACATGGTTTTACACCGATTGTAGGTTCAAAACAATAGTCGTTTAGCCAGATCACGTGCGATAAAACAGGTAACAATGTATGTTAATTTATGCTGAAGCTATTTTTAAAGCGACTGAAAAACAATAGCACAGTTGTTAGCTAAAACGCTTAAGGCATTTTTGAAATACCGCGCTACCTTATCTTTGCATATATATATATAAACTACATGTATAACTAAGATGCATAAGTCTTATTTACTAGTCGCTCTTCTTAAGTGTGTCAATAATATACTAAGTGACTCAGTCAAACCGTAATATATGTATAAATACATGATGATGATGATGCCAATAATATACAGAGTGACTCAAATTGTCATTGGAAAACAAACCATGATTTATGTATAAATACATGATGATGATGATGATGATGATAATGATGATGATGATGACACCAATTATATACAAAGTGACTCAAATTGGTATTGGAAAACAGACCATAATATATGTATAAATACATAATAATGATGATGATAATGATGATGACGATGCTGATGCTACTGCGGATGATGATGATGATGATCATCATCATCATCTTCATTATTATTATTATTATTATTGTATGATTTCTGGCGACTTATAGGCCCATGGGGCCGTGTGCAATGTTATTTTTTTCCCTGTACATATCACGGACCTTAAATGGCATTAAGGTCTGTGTAGAAGATAGGTATTTACGCTCCCTTGGCAGCTCACTGAATACACTTACGTTACTTTTGAACGATAGTGAAACAGTCGACCGATGCGCAGCATAGTAATAATTATGTATTGTAATAGATATGCGCATTTCACGATAAGAAAATATTTATTTACTAACTTACATACAAAAATGAAAAGTACTTCATTACACCTACCTTGATATATCCCAATAAATAGGATAAATACGAACGCCAACCCAAGTATCCATCGATTTGCAACCAAAAAGCGGTATAATTTACGATGTAGCATTTTCACTTGCCCTGAATGTTTATTTACAATAAAACTCTTCATTTTAAACAATATTAACGCTTAATACTAGTTCGTCTTTTTTCACTTAAGTAGCACTTTAACGCTATTCCTGTACGTCCATCTTTTCTTTTTTCCCCTACGTAATACTATTATTTATGCTTAATCTCCGCGTATATTTCATTCACGCATCAGTGCGCAGTATTAAATTTCTCAATTTGATTAACAAGTATAATTCCTGTACACTTCACTTTGCTTTTTTTAATAAAGGTATCACATTATACTTGTCTATTCAAAATAGATAAGCAAACATCTCGACTATAGTGTTTAAAGCATCTCATATTTTAAACCATAAGAACACTATACTGTGTGCTTAAACCATACGCTGTCAACTGACTTATTCATGTGTATGTTTGACCTAAATACAGGTACACTGGTCGCACATTCATTGACACCTGAGACACGAGTTTATTTGAGCAGAATCTTTCATTATGGCTGACATACAATTGTAATTAATGCGACCGTGTAAATTACAACAACAATAACAAAACAGGTCATGACCTCCCGAGGCGTTATAACTTGTTTAAGTATAATTGATATGTTTTAAAATGTGCTTCAGGCAAATATTTTGTACATTGTTTAAATGTATTAGATCTTATTATATTCAAAATTAAAATTACTATGATAATATTATGCTTAAAATGATGTTTAACGTTCATCTTCCTCAAAATGCGACTTTTGAAAGTATACAATGTCAAAAGATTCAAATTTATTTTTGTAAAATTATTTAAAAAGGGTTATCTTGTTGAAATAGCCCGTTTAACTAGAACTGAATCTGAAAAGATGCACGTTTTCCCGTGCTAGCACATGATTTTAGTATCCCTCCTGTATTTAAAGGTGGAGGCTATAAGACATCCCTTTCCTGGAGTAAGGCGGAGTTTACTATTATAAGCGTTTTTTTAGCGCGAATGTTAAAGAGCGTCTGAGTGAACGCTGCTATAGTGAATGGAAAGGGACGTAAATAAGCGAAATGTACTTTTATTTCTCCATCAGTTTTTATTTTAATGAAGAAAACTAATTATATGTCGCAATATTAGATCTACGTTGAATTGAAGTTATGTTTTCAAAGCAACTTATAGCATCACGAAACTATCCCGAAACAACCAATTTTCAATCACAACCTAAATTCAAACACATTCTTAATTCTGTGGCACGGATGTCATGCCTGACTAAATTGCACAAAGTCACATGTTGTATTAACTTCAAAACTTGCAGAAATGCCACACTTGATTAATTGTCAGATGTTTTCAGAAAAACAATAAGAAACTGTTTGTTTTAAGTGACACAATATAAATTGTCCAACTTTCACTATATCAATATAGTCACTTGTTGAAAATAGTGGTAAAATTTTTTCTTAGCAAGTTAATTTTTTATAAAGTATTGGCAAAAGAGTTTTACCATTTACCTCAGTCAAAGGTGTATTTAAAACATTTATTTATATGATGTACCACTAAATATTCATCAGACTTTACACGGGGGTCCTTATTAATAAAATCTTATATTGTTATCAAATTTTTTCATGTGATGATTGTAGAATAATTGTTTTGTAAGCGATACCAGCTGGCAGATCTAGACAAGTTTCCATATTTGCTAATATTTTAAAGTGGGGAAGGTAAAATGGCTGTAAAGATTTGATGCATTTATCATTTTGCACCCCAAATAGCGTACTAAGAAGTGACACCTTTAACTGCCTTTTTAAACACATTAACAGTAGTCATACCAATGCATTGTGCTGTACATATGTTATAACATTTAGTGTAAGTTTTTTAAATTCTTGAAAAAACTGTTGAAAATTGTTGAATAGACTATTGTGAAGTTTTCTACAATTTTTAGTGGCCCTGATTTATCTTTAACAAATTTTCCATGGTGATTACCCTGCTGTTTGAATTTAGGTTAAAATATTCCTGGGAGTAACCAGAGTGGGTCATATTGTTTTTATTGAATTTCTAAGAAAGATCAAGACTTGTTGAAAATGTACCAACCTGAAAATGAATAAGTGTCAATAGATGCATTAATAGCTAAAATAAATTTAAAGTATAATTTCCCCTTCCATTTATTATTGGCTAAAAACAGCTTAACTGATTGAATATTGGTTGTCCCGGGATATATGTGCGTGTCCCTACTGTATATTATAACGCTAATAATTGTGAAATTGTATACTTTTAGTTGCTTTGTATATTTATGCACTTACAAAACACATTATGTTATGACTATTATAATAATAGTCATAACATAATGTGTTTTTACATAAATTGTCGTCATTTGAGGTGAAGGCAAACCAATTTTTTTAAAGGGTTCAATCAATTACACCAATAAATAGTTTGTCTTGGGTAAAATAAAGACGACAACCCGTGTATGGTGGTCACCTGCCACAGTACCTAAATAAAGTGCAATCTAAACTTGAGATGTACATGCTTCCGAATGTATCACCAATAATAAGTAATTGTAGGTAATCAATTACACCCCTAACGCATGTTACCTGTAATAATTAAACATGAAAAACAGTTCGCCCATAATCTGATAGAGTATAATTATATATCAATGACGACAACCAATATATGGAGGTTCATCTTTTTATACCCTTATACGATCATATAAAGTGTATAGCCTACCGGGTTAGACTGTAAACTGAATGATGTATCCCTAGAAAAGTGCATTGTTAAATGCAATTCTGACAGCCAGTATCTGGATGTAGACAAGTTTAATGTCTGAATGTAAAATCATGTACTTTACTTGTATATTAACTCCATTTATTCTATTACGTGTATAGCCATTATATGAACCTTCTTTTTTACAAATAATGCAAGTTTAGGAATAGTGAACTTTTGATTCATAAATGAGGTTATGAAAATATTGACAATTATGTTAACAACCAATATACGGATGTAAGGTCTGCGGGTTAAAAATTTTAAAATCTACATGTATATACATTTACTTTACAATCTTCTGGTATAACATGTACTTAATAAGCTAAGATTACGTTAAGAACATGTAAATTTGGGTAAAAGGACAACCCGCTTTTGGAGGTCAACTGCTTCGATGCCTGACTGAAGTGCAGTACATAATTTAAGCTACAGTCTCACTTACATCCCGGCAAAGCCCCGGTAGACGTCCAGGTGATCTGGGAACGGCCGGAATACATCCATATAACTCTGCCAGCAACGTCCGGGATGATCCTGGTACATCTGGCATTTAATATCACCGGGGTGGTCCGTGATAACCCGGGGAGTATAGCTTTGCCCTGCCGGGAACGACCGGGGTTACACCGGGGAAGCACCATAGCTCTGTCGGCAAAAACCGGGTATGATCCGGGGTATGATATAGCCGGTAGAGCTACGTACGGCAGAGCCCTTGTGAATGCTGGCAGAGCCCCGGAGAATGCCAGCAGAGCCTCGGAGAATGCAGTCAGAGCCCCGGAGGATGACGATGGAGCTAAGGTTGATCCCGGTAGAGCCCCGATAAAGTCCGGTTTGATTCCAAAAGAACCACGACAATTTGCGATGATTGCACTTGTTTGTTTACCCTTCCCATTTCCATTCTATCCAGTCTTGCGTAAGGATTTTTCAGAAAATCATCATGCATTACTGTTCTTTATATTAAATAAAATTATGTATTGATCAATGTAATCATGTAATCATGTTCTCGCGCGTTTTCAATCCACTGGGATTCTAGCTTAGGGGGCTCTGCCTGGATCGTCCTGGGCTCTGCCTGGATCGACCGGGGCTCTGCATGGGTCAATCTAGGCTCTTCCAGCGTCATCCAGGAGCGACACATTATGATATGACTATCATTAAGTGAATTTACATAAATTGTCGACATTTGAGGTGAAGGCAAACCAATTTTTAAAGGATTCAACCAATTACACCAATAAATAGTTTGTCTTGGGTAAAATGAAGACGACAACCCGTGTATGGAGGTCACCTGCCCCAGTACCTGTATAAAGTGCTATCTAAATTAGAAAAGTGCATTGTTAAATGCAATTCTGACAGCCAGTATCTGGATGTGGAGAAATCTTATGATCATGTATATTCACTTTATTTATTCTATTACGTGTTTAGCCATTTTATATAATAATGCAGACAAGGGCAAGTTTATGAATAGCGAACTTTTGAATTCATAAAACTAAAACAATGGTAGGATACTACGTCATCGCGCACCTGCTGAATGCTCCCACTTGGACCATTTTTTCGTCGACTCGAAGGTAAAATACAATTTTATTGTAAGAAAACGTAAAAGTATTAAAAAATCATGTAGCGCACCAAAGAATGGCTATAGTAATTGAGATAATTGTAAAAAAAGTTTATAGATTTATTGCCTGGTTTAGGCCTGAAAACGGGATAAGTGTTTTTCTCTGAATGCTCCCACTCGGACTTCTCCCGAAACATATATGAAATAAGGTTGAAAACCTTCTTTAAAATTATTTGTAACGTATCGGAACATAAACCGAGTCATGTAAACCCATTATTCTTTATTAGTTTCAAATATTTCTATTCAAAAGTCAGTCTTTTAAAGGTTTTTTCTATGAAAATGGAAAATGCTCCCACTCGGACTCGATTTCAGAGATGCTCCCACTCGGACCCAAATTTATACATTTTGAAAGCACATGCTGTGTTAGCTTTTATGGATTATTCTCACAATTTTAACACCATTTTGTCAATAACTATTGTGTTTGGCAACATTAACTTTTCATTCTTTTTATAGAGATCACTTCTTTGATTCTGTAGAATGACGTCGTTGGGCAGGAACAAGGTGCCATGGCAAAGTTTCAACTGACAGGATCACTATACAAAAAGGTGCACTTGGCTTGTGTTGCATCCGAAGGGATAATTCAAAATTATTGCCAACAACAAGCTAGGACTATAAGACAGTTTGGATCGGCAGTTTGGATCTCAAGAATAAAGTTTTGTTTAGATGTTAAAAAATTGTGGTGTTTTACAAAGAAGTCATTATACATTGTTTAGTACCATATCGGATTAAGATTCTGTTGGACTCGTGCACATATTAGAGGCCAGCATTTATTCAATAATTGCTGACTTTAATATCTTGTTAATAATTTAAAACCCAATGGTTTGCGTGTTTGTTAAACTTGTGATTTAGGTTTTAAAACAGGATAATGGTACGTTTATGAACATAAAGAAGTCAATATCTATCGGTTGATTTGAATAGTTTATTAAAGAACAACATGAAAATCATTTTTGTCATGAACTGGTTAAAAAGTCAATGTACTGCCATACTACGGCGTCATAATTATTAACAACTTTGACAATTTTAAGTATGAAAGTTATCATGTGTACGTATTTTTACCTAAATAAAAAAATAAAAAAATAAGAAAACAAAGATCATAGTTATTTCTTTATCACAGTCTTTACCATATTTTGGTAATTAAAGATCATGTAAGTTATATTTCAGGCTGTTACCAATT